TTCTCAACTTCAGCATTATTGACATGTTGGCCATACTAGCACCTCTATAAGTGCTAGATAGGAAGGAAATATTTCAAAGCCAATAGGATGTATATTTGTTCCTTTCTTCATATGAAACATTTTATTAATATTATGAATTAAGAAAAACACTTTATTTTACTAATACTCAATTGAATATGAGAATAACTTGATCTCATTTTGTTCAAGTTGATTGTGAAAGCTATAACTTTGCCTAAGATTTAACAGCCATTTTTTAGTAATAAAGATAATTATGCTACCTAGAATTTATTACACCCTATGTTCCAAACAGTGTTCTACGTTCTTTACATGTATCTATTTAGTTCCTTTTAAATGTCTCCACATTAAAAGTCCATTTCTACTAATTCTTTCCTTTTGCGTGTAAACAACCATGCTCATTCAGTGCTTTCGTCATGGCGTCTGTTTTCATCGTTTCTCCCTTGCCACCGTGAGCGAATCCATCTTCCTTACATCTGCAATCTTCTCCTTGCTACCCCCTGTTCCCCCTCTTCCTCTTAGGTCCTAATTGAACCTTCCTCTGCACTCTCTATTCCCCCAAAACTAATATGCTATCATTCTCCTTCCTTTCAGTTACAAATTTCCCTGGAACGTGTTTGGCTCCACTCACTCCTTCGATGTCTGCATCAACCATCTTCTCTTTCACAATTTACCATCTTCCTATGGTCTCCTATGACCTAATTGTTGAATCCGGCAATGTTTCCTTGCTTCTCATTCCTCTTGGCCCTTCTGTAATTGGGACATTTTTTTGATATCTTCTCCATCTTTAAATTATTTTCTTCCTTCATTTGGGATCCCAGCTCTTTTGTCTTCTCTAGCTTTTTAAAATGTTTTCTCTTCTTACACATAAGCTTGAGAATCATCTGAGATTCTTTCCTTGTCTTCATCAAAACACCCTTTATCTAGTTCCTCCTTCTGAATTGTCTATTTCTATGACCTAATGGAATCACCCTTTCCTAAGTCACCTCCGGCTGGAAGCTTCAGTGTGACATTTAACGCCGCCATCTCCCTCGTGCCTAGAGTCCCGTCAGCTCCCGTTCGTTCATCCTTTCCGTTCCCCATCATTACCCTGTAGAGGCTCAGAGCGCATCATGCCTGAATTATTGCAACTGCCTCCTAAATGGTCTCTCCACCTCTGCTCGTTCTCTCCTCTTCAGTTCGCCCACGATAGTCCCTCTAGACTACTTGTCAGAAATCACTGCTTTGAATGTTTCCTTCTCTTCCCCAACTAAAGGTTTCTACCATGGTCCGCCGCCTGCCAAATAATACCAAAACTCATTAAAACTTCACAGAGAGTTTCTAGCTTTATCTTCCACTCCTCTACATGCTGTTTATTTGCTGTTCATCAGAGCAGCAAATAATTTTTTTTGTACGTCTGGGGCTCTCTGCCTATGCCATGTGGAATTCCTCTCTACTCCTGTCTTAGTCCATTCAAAGAAAACTTGGAGTCTACATTAATTAGAGGGATTGCCCTCTAATTACCATGGTACTAAAAGTTTCTCTCTTTATTCTAATGTCCTTTCACTACTTCTGTGGCTTTTACCATATGTTAATTTGTCTTTATTGAGAGGGTCTTGGAAACGACATAAAATGAAACCACTTTTATCATAAGCTAATTGATGTGAGTTAAGTTATTACGGCATCTCATCAATGTTATAATGAAACAGTGTTCAACAAAATGACATTATTCAAAGACCTGCAATACGTGTTCTATCTCATACTATTTCACCAACTGGATAGTAACCCACCTTGCCCCTATCGAAAGTTTTCCCGCGGCTCTCCCCAGCTTCCGGGGTCAAGTTTCAACTCTTCATCTTGGTGTTTGGGTTTCTCCTAATCTGACCTCTGCCTGCTTCTCCTCTCACAGCCCCTACACTCGTCTGCCTGCACTGCAGGCCCGGTCCTTCCAGTTCACCTGCCGTTCCCCAGACACCCTACGTGCCTTCATGCCTGCTCTGCCTTTACTCGTCCCATTCCATCTGCCTGGGATGTTGTGCTTCACTGATTTTACTGGCCAAACATACCTCTCCTTCGACATTCAACTCAGGTGCCACCTCCTTCAGGATGCTGGTCCCTGACGACCCAGGCCATGAGATACACATCCTTCCTGCCTCTGCAGGACCTTGGAATATGGCGCTGCCTTTCTTCATCTGCTGACCTATGTTCCCTAGGGGAACAGAAGTTCTCTAGGGCAGTCCACACTTCCATCTTCCCACCTGTATTCCTAGCACCTAGCCCAGGGCTCCTGATGTAGTGAAATGAGGCAGGTCTGGCTGGGACAGGCCAGCTGGTTAGATAGGTAGGTCTCCAGAAGGTGGCATTTACTTAGGTGAATTTGCCATGACTCAGGGCCTGGCTTTCAGCGTGAAGGCATGGGAACTTGGCTTAACATATTTTGAGTGGATCCATCTCACAAAGAGAGAATCTTATTTACCAAGCTCACAGGGGCTACTATATAAAATGGGCATGCCTATACACTAGTTATTAAGGGGCATGTTAACTGGACTATTGCTGGCATTAACCTGCCCTTGGCATTCTCCCTCTGTTTATATGCCATGCAAAAAGTCAATTCTCTCATTGTATGTTTGCAACCAATTTATTTTATTTCACAATGGCAAATCACATGAATTGTGTGTGGATTTTACTAGCTCACCTGTTAAAGAACAAACAACCTTATATCTAAATTCTTGGGGCGAGATGGGAACAGTTTCCTGTAGCTTCTAGGCACTGAGTAATAAGCGTTTAATAAACACGTGTGTGATATTGCTGATTAAATAAACGAATTCAGGTCCGGCTAGTAGTTATAAGATGGCTTTGACTGAAAGGCTAATTGTGGCAAAGTAACATAGAGACATATTCCATCTGACCTCATTACTGGAAAACCACATTTCTCTTTAAAGGTTCCTTTAACTCTCTTACACATTTCTAGCTGTTTTTCTTCACACTAGAGCCCAGCACCAGGTGTCCGGGACCTAACTGGCACTTTGCAGACTGAGCTTTCTCACTGCTTTCTCTGCCTGCCTGTGCCTTCTGCTGCTCTGACTGCTGCCACCACCAGCCCTTCCTCCTCCCCATTTCTCCTTCCTCCAAAAGCAGTTTCATTTCTTCTGCTTTCTGAATCAGAATCGCGCCTCGCGGCTCACCTCCAAGGTAAGGGGCCCCGCGCAGACGGCTGAGACCTCGGATGCTGCCCTTGGTGCCTGCACGTCTCTGGCTCCAGCCCTTCTCTCGAGGTGCATGTTTGAAAGAGAAATAGCTCGGAATAAAGTGAAAAGACGGGGATCCCTCATCCAAGTGATATTACAATAAAGTCAGTTCACAGGAGGAAAATCAGTCTTTTGGAACAAAGTACCAAACAGAGTGTTGGTCATGGATCATGTAGACATAATCAGGCTGATTCTTTTTTTTTTTCCTTTGTTGGTTGTTGTTACCGTGTTCATATCTCGACAGGCAGGCAGCGGCCACGCCGTACCACAGTTCAGTGCCACAGTGCTGCTTTAACTTTGTAACAAGAAAAATACATGTCTGCTCACTTATCAATATGAGGAAATCCTGTTTGCAGGTCTAATTTAGTTTGATTTTTCTGTACTATTTTAAATGACCGGTAAATTATTACCAAGTGTGGTGAATTTACCGTTCCGCAAAATAAGAGTGGGAATTGTTCCATCATGTTGTATCTTTTTTCTTTCTCCCCGTTTTCCCCTAAAGATGGCCATATAAGTACATTTGCATAAAATAAATTGTTCACATAGACACATTGTGTTTCTTACCCATAGGTCCACATTGGTCATTCAGAAAACTTAGACCTTAAGCAAATTAATGAAACAATATCTGCCCTGATTTTTAAGCATCTACAATGTGTATGCCAATCTGACTGCAGTGTTTTCTATATCTTAAATATAATGCTTGGAAGGGTTCAATCCTAAACAAACCTCCCATTTTACAGAAGAGGCCATTGAGGTTAAGGAACTTGTCCAAGTCCCAGTACTGGAGCAGAGTAGAATTCGAAGCCAGGCCCGCCTTGCTTCCTCGTGCACTCTTTCCCCCGCTGTACTTCTGCTTCCTGCGTGAGCGGACTGTGTGTTCAGGAGGCCGTGCCACTATCTCCTCTCCCCGCAACACAACAATGCTCAATGAATATTAGATTTCTTAGAGTTTGTCCTTCTTGTTCTGTCGTTTTCCACTGATGGAAGAAACAAGTATTTCAGTGGCTTTATTGCTCTGTCAGTTGTGGGCTGCTACATATAAAATAGGTGTTATGTGACTTCAAAAATTTGTGTCATGGCACAATTATGAAAAAATGGATCTTTGGAAGTAGGTAACAGTTTACTTTAAAAACACAAGTTTGCAAAAGATAAGAGTGCCTTCTTTTTTATGAACACATGTTATTCCAATGTATAAACGAACCACAGCTGTTTTATCTACTCATCTAGTGATGGGCACTTGGCTGTTTCCAGATCTTGGCAATTGTAAATAACGCTGCTGTGAATACAAGGGTGCTTATGTTCTTTCAAACTGGTGTTTTGGGATTCTTAGGATATATTCCCAGAATGGATGGACTTGGAAATTATTATGCTAAGTGAAATAAGCTAGTCAGTGAAGGACAAATACCCCATGATCTCACTTGTATGTATAATCTACTGAAAAAAATAAACTGACATACAAATAGAAACAGAGGTATGGATACATGGGACAGACCGGCAGTTCTCAGAGGGGCAGGGGAGGAGGAAACTGGATGAAAGAGGGGGAAAGGATCAGCCCAAGAACATCTATGCATAACCCATGGACACAGACGACAGTGTGGTGATGGCCAGAGGGAAGGAGGGGTGAGGGCTGGGTGGATGTAGGCAAAGCGGGGGAAATGGGGACATCTGTAATAGTGTCAATATTAAACATAAAGTTAAAAAATGAACAGGAAACAAACCATGACTTCGTTGCATTGTTTAATTTGTGTGTTTTTATAGCTGATGAAGAATATGAAGATGGAATTGAAAGGACATGTGACACTCTCCTTATGTGCATCGTCACCGTCCTGAACCAGGGCCTCAGGAATGGCGGTGGTGTGGGAGATGTGCTGAGAAGGCCGTCGAAAGACGTAAGCTGGAGGAAAAGTATTTTTTCAAGAAGCATATAATTTTTTTAAGCCTCTCAATGATATTTACAATATGGTTTTTTGTTTTCAGGGTACTATCTTGTGTCATTTGCTTTGAAAGTATAATGGTAGCCATTAAACCCAATTAATTGTATGCTAGGATTACATAGAGATCACTAATATACTAAAAATCTATGTTGTTAGTGGGGTTAGGAAATTGTTCCAAGTTTGAACTGTGTGTTATATTACAGCAACAAAATCATGATTACAAACGTTGTAGAGGAGTTGAGTGTTATGTAAATAACAGAAACTATACTGCCTCTTGTCTATCAGGTTTCTCAGGCATGAAGAGTTACCCTTTGCCTGTGAATATGAGTAGACTTCACTATTCATCCACAATGAAAATAAAATTTAACAAATTCTAACAAGATTTCATATCCTCAAGTGGCAAGGCTGAAAATTTTCTCATTAGCTGCAAAATCTCGGGCACCAGGCTGGGAGCTTGAAAAAAAATCTCAGTTCTCCAGCAGGCTAGCTGTATCATGTTGCCGATTCATCTAATGTTTCCTCATCTGTGACGTAGCTGGATTCCGCGACCTCTAATGTGTACTTTAATACTGTTCACCAAGTCGGAATAGCTTGAGCTGTATGTACTTGACCCTATGAGGCCAAGAACAAAACCTACTCCAGAAACTGATGAATTATTAGATCCTCCACAACTCCCTAATCATTGACTTCTGGAATTGATATTTGTATACCTTTCGTGCAACTTCTGGGATGCAACCTACCGCACCAAAATGCATTTAGCAGGGTGACAAAGTGGTTTATAATAAAAAGTCAGCCTCTCCGCTGTGGGGTGGGAGTAGGGGGAGTATAAGTCCTGGAGAATAGAAAGGGTTCTCGGGGGAGGCTATGAAACTTTTCTCATTACATTGAAAGAAAATGAAGGTAGAAAGTGGATCTTATTTTTCCAACTTGGAATACTGTTTATATTAGTTTAGCAAATATTAATGAAATATATCCCCTTTGCTAGGCAATATGCAAAATCACCATGCCTTGAAAATGTGTATGTATGTATATATGTATGTATATATATATATTTTTTGAATTTTTATTTCAGGAGCCCTTGTTTGCTGCCCGAGTGGTATATGACCTTCTTTTTTATTTCATTGTCATCATTATTGTTCTTAACTTGATTTTTGGTGTCATCATTGATACTTTTGCTGATCTCAGAAGTGAAAAACAGAAGAAAGAAGAAATTCTAAAGACAACCTGCTTCATCTGTGGTAAGTGTTCTCAAAATTCTAAAATAATAGATGAAACTGCCCAGGAGGGGCTAGAATGATGTTTATTTTTCATGCTTTGGGAAAATTATGTCAAAGTGAAACCTGGACAGAATTCAGATTATGTGTCTGAGCATTGGACTGGGACCCTCTGTTCCATAAATAGAAGAATTACATCTGAAAGATATCTTGTCATTATTTCTGCAATTTACTTAATTCTTTGACTTTAGAACATGTTGCAAAATGCCAAAAGGTTCTATCAACTGGCAAACAAATTTTTCATTGCAGTAACACTGATTAAATAACAAAATGATTTTTTTTATTTTGTTAGATTTTGAATGTATAGGTGATTTTCCCACAGCTTGAACTTTTACTCACTGACTGACACTATGCTTTCAATTCTGAACTGTGCTGGTTTCTCTCTGCTTTTACTCTCCCTCTCTCCCCTCCCCTGCCTCCTCCATCTTTCCCCCCCCTGCCCATCCTTTCCTCCCTCCCTCCCTCTCCCTCTCACACCCCCTGCCTTCCCCCCTTCCTCTTCCTCTTCTGCCTTTCCCCGCCTCTTCCATCCTGAGGAAGAAAGAAGGGTCTTCTCTTTATATGTCTAGGTTAGATGGAGGAAAGCAAGATCAAGACGGAGCCAAGGAAGGTGCCGTATGATGATTTGGGGATTAGAGGATGTGAACTATTGTACTGAAGGATGAGTCCCACAGAGGAAAAAAGATGCTGCCCTTGAAAATCTGTCTGTATGTCTCAGGGTCTTACTTTTGCACTGCTTCCTCCGAGCCCTTTTCTTCATGATCATAACTATTATGTCAGCACACTACTTCCGCACAATGGGTATTTGGGAAGAATGTATCTGTAGCAGTAGGATGTAAGCCTCATAGTAAGACACGATCCTGTTTCCCATATTCTAACAACAAAACACAAACATAGTAAGGCCATCACTTAACCACCATTCCTGTTCCTGTAAGCTTTTCATAGTTATTAAAAAGCCTGTAACCTATACATTTCTTAAAACCTCCCAATAACCTTCATCACCAAATTGAAATGTTTTTCTTGAATCTCGTCATTAATTTCCTGCTGACCTTTCCTCCTACCTTGAATTGCATGTTCTCTGGTTCCACCACGAGGTCTTAGTTTTCCTCCCAGCCCCTAGATAAGAGGTTCGGATTTTACCATGGACTCCTGGTTGCTTCTCTCGGCCTTCCTCTTTAACACTGCTTGATGCATATTATTGCCAAATATACAACCACAGCTCCAGCCTCTCTCTGGGCTTTTCTTCTGTCTTTTGTCTTCAGTTTGTTGACTGACAGGGAGGTATGACTCCCTGGCAGCCAACTTCACCGAATACAAGCACCAGTGCATCTTGCCTTTCCATCTCCTCCCTCTGACCCAGCGACTTGCCCTGACTTCCACATTGCAGTGAATGCTATCCCGTTATACCTTCAGTTGTCTGAACTGCGGACTTCTCATTTTTAGCATCTGTTTTTTCCTTTTTTCTTTTTCGAGGTGCACTAGTAACCATGTGTTAAGGAATCTTTTTCACAGACTCACTGCTCTCTACAGATTCCCTTGGCCATGCCTTGGTTTTCTGAGGTTCACCCTGGCTCACCCCCAAATGGCTGGCTCAGTGCTGCCAGACTAATTTTTCTACTTTGAAGTCATCATTTCCTTACTCAAAAGGCTACCAAGAGCACCGCATATAACTCTAAAACTCTTAATTTTCCTGGCATGTAAGGTGCCCCATGATTGGGCTCCTTCTTTTTTTGCCCACCTGGGTACCCATTTATGGCTCAAGGTATAGTCTGACTGTGTGGCTCATCTGTAACTCTCCATGTGCTCTCAGTTATGGTGTTTCTGTTTGGAAGGCCCAAGCCCCTAAGTGGTTGAACTTCTGCCTTCATTCTGAGGCCCAGATCTAACGCCATTATTCCATGAAGACTTCTCTGATCTCACTAACCGGAAGCAAACATGTCTGTTCCTAAATCCCTCGTATCACCCTTAGCTGTGTGGTACTGTGTGTATTTTTGTTGCCTTATCTCTTTTGTTGGATGTGGATGCTATTCATTGTCATATTGTAGAAAGTTAGTGAACTTTATAATCAAATGGACATAGGTCTGTACCGCTTCCACATCCTGACTACGTGATATTGGGCAAGTCTCCTTTCACCTTGAACTACTATTTCCTTATCTGGAAAATGGGGACTATAATGCCATGTTTAGGGGTTGTGGTGAGTATAAATGAGATCACTTGAATCAGAATTCCTAGCTTAGTGCTTAGCTGAGAGTAAGATCTGAATACATGTTAATTTCTCTTTTTTAAGAGACCCAGACCCATGTCTTATTCATTTTAATGCTTCCATAGCATGTATTAGGGATCATTCATAAACATTTTCTTAATGACTGACTATCCAATTAGCTCTGAATTAATGTCTCTATACCAATGTATCTTATAACCTATAAAAGAGAGATGAAACAAGGAACCACTAAATCGATATATACTGCAGGCAAACATATCTGGGTGCACTAACTCTGAGTTATTCCAGGTTTTGCTGCTCGCAGCGTATCGTTTCTGTGGGGTGCACAGGCCCGCAGGGAGGCAGGGGCCCCGAGAGCCCCGGAGAGGTGGCTACAGGGTCTGTTTTCCAGAAGCCTCATATTTATTCAAAAAATTTGCATGTTCATTTAGATAATTTAACCTAAGAGTAAACTTACATTGTATTTTTATATTAGTACAAATAAAATGTTGTAAAGTAGAACAAATTTAGTGTGAACATTTACAGTAAAATAGAAACATTTTTAAATATTAAAAAGTGGTACCAGGCACTTTTAGCTGCTAATCCCTGTAACATAAGGGGTCTCTATTCCCTGCCATGAACGGACCTCCCCTTCAACACAAACATGTGATAAGTGTTATGCTAACATATATCTGGATATGCATTCATTCCTGGAATTGCTTGCCACATGTAAGATTTAACATATACCATATATATTACATGAACTTCATTACAGGAATGACCCACGCATTTGGGATATTTGGGGGTTGTACTATAAAATAGTTGTAATCAATCTACAAATGGTTCTGGGAAGAGTCACATGTTAAGCTGTGATCCAAAGAGGGATATCATGCAAATAAAAGAAGAGAGAATGTCCACCGTAGGAGAGAATTGGCTTCAGCAGTGCACCAAGTGACACACACCAAGCGTAGTACCAGAGGTGGTAGCTACTGTGACAGGTGATGAGAGCAGAAGGGACTTTTCTAGCCTTGAAGGCAATGACCAGATGTTTGAGAGGTATGACTCAGAAAGCAATTGCTAGTGATCCAGAAGGCAGCTGTGATGGGGTGATAATTAGCAGATGACAGAGCTGAAGCAGTAAACATAGGAAACAGATTGGTGCTGGCACCCACAATAATTATTAATTTTTAATTACTAGAGGCTGAAAATTCAGGGGAAAGGACCAGGGGTGACAAAATAACAAAATGGAGAAAGAATTTAATCATAAGTCAGAATTCCTATTGTAAGGACAGTCAGGTTTCCAGAATTAAAGATCTTTCTAGATGATTTATTAGGAGATAAAGGCTATAGTGTGAGAGAGGGCACCCATGTTTTTCTCTCATTATATTAGTCCCTTGCTATCTGTACTTACACATTAAAGTCATTCATTCACTTACTTGCTCAAGTTACTCATTGAGCATCTACTATGTGCCAGGATATTGCAGTGAACAAAAACAGGCAAATAGACAAAAAACACTGCCATTAATGGAACTTACTTGCCAACACATGTAGAATGTCAGATGATGACAAAAGCTATGGGGGAAAATAAGGCACAGGACAGGGCAGGGTCCTGGATGCTGGGTGGGTGTGTGCCCTTACTTAGTTGCGCGGCTTGGGAAACACAACAAAGTGCTCATACAGTCTTATTTTTTCTGAAAAGTTGGTATCAAGCACAGAAAGCTCCTTGTATGCTTCCATTTATCCTGCCTTGGTCATCTATTTAATTTTATGTCATTTCTCCTTGAACTAGTCTATTTACATCTTGAACTCTCCGGAAGTTCCAGCTTCCTGACTAACATTCTAACTTGGTTGTTTGGTAGGCATCTTAAAATCAACACACCCCAAATCAAAAGTATCCTCCCTCCAAAACCTCTTTTGTTTTTTCTTTTGCTTTAGTGATATTACCTTAAACTCTGTTAAGTCAGAAAATGCAGTCATTCTTGATTTCTCATAAATGTATGCCTCTAATTGTACATCACACCGTGCTAAAATTCATTCCAAGTTCCTCTTCAGTCTCTCTTGATTTATTCAATTATCTTGTCAACTTTAGTTGAATGCCTACGGTTTACCAGCTGCTATACCAGGTGCTGGTAATACAAAAATACACCAGACAATAAAGTAGTAGAGCCTAAGATAGAAATTGACAAATTTTCATTTCAGAGTATTTTGGACACAGAAAGGATCACCTAACTGGTTGTCTCTGTGGGAGTCAGCATGGTGGCAGCAGTTGAGCTGGGTCTTGAAGAACGTGTACCTAGAAGGCAGGAAAGAGACTCGATGAAAGCATAGAGCTGTCAAAGGATTCAGTATGTTTGGAGGATGGTGAGAAAGGCAGAGATTTCCAGAAGTGGATTGTCAGAGCATGAGTCTGAGAATCACTTCAAGTTCCTTGGTTGGCAGAGCCTTCATTAACAGAGGTAAATAGAAAGGGCTAAAGAAACACATTTTTGATGAGTTCAGTTTGACATGCCCATAAGCTATCCAAGAGTATTTATCCAGGAGGCAGCTGGAAATAGAAAGTGAAGTTGAGAAGAAAGGTTAGTACTGGGGATAAATATGGAGAAATCAACGTAATGATGGTTGAAGAACAGATAACAAAGCTTAGCGAGCAAGACCCAGTGAAAATGAGAGAACCAGTTCCCCTCTTTCCCATTTCCCCTCGCTGCCCTACTCCCTCGACCCCCACACTCAGCCTCTTCTCCGGCAGTCTTCCTCTGTAAATCCTGCCACCGGACGTTCCTGAAAGCCCAGCGTGGAATATGGAGTGTCTGCTCAAAACCTTCAGAACAAAAGGCAGGCTCCTTAGCTTTGTGTTTAAAGCTTATTATGGTTTGTGCCAAATGTACTGTTTCATCTTCATTTCCGAAAGTTCCCTTCTGACCACAGAGGAGTTGACGCTCCCCAAACAGGTCATCTCCTTTCATCTCTAGCTTTGCCATGCCATTTCCTCTGCCCAGATGGCAAAGGAACATGGCTTTGGCGTCAGAAATGTTTTTATTTAAATACTGGCTGACTTTTCCACTAACCGGAAGTGTTTACTTGAGCAATTAATTGAATCCCTCTGAATCTGTTTCCTCACATGTTAAAAGGTCAGATTGGATTGTTGGAATTATTGTCAGCATAAGTATGTGCTAAATAAAAATTAAATATCTTTTATTACCATTCCTCTCTTTTCCACTTGCAATAGTCACATTTCAAGGCCAGACATTCAGAGCTTTACACCTCTTTGAAACAGTTTAAAATGTACCTAGTGAGAATCGATTTTGCCTTTCCCTATGTTTCATTGGCAGTTTATACCACTTCAGAATGTCTGTTGTCTGTTTCCTCTACCATATTATGAATTAATTGATAGTGCACACATTGTTTTTATAGCCATATGTACCTTGCAACAGAGAGATAAATGTTTGAATTGAATTCTGAGAAGATCTGCTTCAACATTTCTCTCTCTCTCTCTCTTTTTTTTAGAGTAATAGCTCTGTTGAGATATAATTTATATACCTTACAACTCATCCATTTAAGTATACGATTCAATGGTTTTTAGTATATTCAGAGTTAAGCATCTATCAGCACAATCAATTTTAGAACATTTTTGTTGTCTCCAAAAGAAATGTTATACCCTTTAGCTACCACTGTTCCCCTTCCCATTACCTTTTATCCTCCTCAGCCCAAGGCAACCTCTGATCTACTGTCTGCCTCTATAGATTTGCCTGTTCTGGACAGTTCATAAAAATGGAATCATATGCTATGTGGTTTTCTGTGACTTGCTTCTTTCACTTACTATGATGTTTTAAAGGTTCACGTTGTAGCATATTTCAATAGCATGTATGGATATTTTGTTTATCCTTTCATCAGGTAATGAACATCTGGATTGTTTCTACTATTTGGCTATTATGAATAATGCTGCCATGAGCAATTTATGTCTAAGCTTTTATATGGACATGTGTGTGTGTGTGTGTGTGTGTGTGTGTGTGTGTGTGTATGAGAGAGAGAGAGAGAGAGAGAGAGAAATTGTTGGGTCATCTGGTAATTCTATATTTAATCTTTTGAGGACCTGCTAAACTGTTTTCCAAAGTAGCTGTACTATGTTACATTCCCACCAGTAGTGTATGAGGATTCTAATTTATCCACATTATCACCAACACTTGTTATTATCTGTTCTTGATTGCAGCCATCTTAGCAGGACATTTTGCTAGTGAAATATCCTTAAGGCATTGAATCAATATTTTATTTAATGCCAACCACATACCACATACCATTCTAAACTATTTAGACCATTGGTGAAGAACAGAGACAGATATATCTGCCTGTGGACATGCAATAAATGATAAACATAGTAAGCTCCTGGGTAAAAGGACATTTCTTTCTTCTATGCTGTTTAGCAGGCAGGAATTTTTGTGCACCATCATTTTTATGTCTTTACCTTATTCTTGCGGTCTAATTTGATTTAACAACATTGATATGGCTATATTCAGTCTGTTAGGAGGTGCTAAGTACTGTAGGAAAAAGAAGGGAGTCCTGGCTGGTGTGGCTCAGTGGATAGAGTGCTGGCCTGCGAACCAAAGTGTCATTGGTTTGAGTCCCAGTCAGGGCACATGCCTGGGTTGCAGGACAGGTCCCCAATGGGGGCCACGTGAGAGGCAACCACATATTGAGGTTTCTCTCCCTTCCCTTCTCCCTCCCTTCCCTTCTCTCTAAAAATACACAAAAAAAAAAAGAAAAGAGGGGAAATGGGGAAGAGTGATTAAAAGTGTCCACAAAAGGGAAGGGACAAGTGATAGAATTAAATAAGGTAAATAAGTTAAGCCACATTGAGAAGGTGAGATTTGAGCAAAAACTTAAAGGTGGGTGAGTTAGTCAAAGACATACCGGAGAGAAGAGTGTTGTGGGCAGAAGAAATGACCAGTCCTGAGGCCCTGAAACAGGAGTCTGCATGTGAGGAACAGCAAGGAGGCCAACGTGGCTGCGTAAAGGTTAGCAGGGGAGAGGGCAGCAGGAGATGAGGTAAGAGAGGCTGTGGGGCCAAATCTCTTAGGGTTTAGCAAATAGATACCACATGGGACATACTTACACTCTACAATTATGTATTATTTACCTGAAATTCAAACTTATTTGAGCATCTTATATTTTATCTGGCCACCCTCCTTGGAGACCATTTCAATGACTTTGATCTTTACCTGAAGGAGGGGAGGAACCACGGCAGGATTTGGAAAACGGGAGAGATGCCAGCTCACTTAGATTTTTAAAGGATCACCTGCCTACTGCGTTGAGGATGGGCTGCAGAGAGTGAGAGTGGAAAGAGGGAGGCCCGGGAGGCCATCGTAGTAGCCCAGATGAGAGACGGCACGGGCTCAGACCAGGGCGGTCGTGCTGGGGGCGGTGAGGAGTGACCCGATTCGGAATATGTGTTGAAGGTAGAGGCAAAAGAAGAATCTCAGCCACAGATGGGATGTGGCATGTGAGAGCGGAAAAGGATCCAAGAATGGCTCCTAGAGTTTTGGCTTGGACAGCTGGAAGCATGGCATGGCCGTGGCGTGAAAAGGGGACTGGGGGTGGGGCAGGGGTGAGGAAGGCGACGGGGCTCTGTTTGGAGCGTGCTGAGCTGGCGATGGGTCGGATAAGATGAGGCATAGCCATCGGCCAGCTAAATTTTATGGTATTTTCCATTAAATATCCAAGGATATAATTTAAAAGGTCATTCCATTTGGGACAGATTTTTTTTTTTTTTACTTGTTATACAGTGTATCTGAATATTTAAAGTGTCTTCTTTCTGCCTGAATAACCCAAGGGCTTTTTGTTGTTGTTGTTGTTTTAAAATATTCTTAGGAAAAGAGGAGCCAGGATTGGAATTCAATTTCCTGGTTTCTTCTCCAATATCTGAACAGCAAAACAAGACTGAATCCCAACATCCCATTTTCCTTGGCTTCCTATTCATTTTTCCATAGATGGTTTTCTTCATCTCCAATCATTTTCTTTCACCCAGTCTTCAACCTTTGAGACAAAAAATATTACTATCCAGATCCATATTCCTCAGCATCCACCCAGAGACTGAAAATATGGCCTGGAACTGAGCACACCATCCCCTTCCCCAAATGCTTGGGCCAGAGGCGTGTGAAGAGCCAGATGGGTCTGTGAGTCCTTACTGCACTCAGAGCCCAGAGCCCGGTGGACGTTTGCTTACCCTTCATGGATCCCAAGTAGTTTTGAAGAGATGACTCTTAGCTGCCTTCCCTCATTTTATTGCAAGTTCCTGGATAAAATGATTTTTTTTTTCTGTCCTGATTATCATTTGTGCCTTTTCTTGAGCAATCGTTTTTACTTCTTTTGCTTAGACTTATGGTCCAGTTTAATTTGACAGTTTTGATATGGTTTTATTTGAAATTATCTGCAAATTTTACATTTATAATAGAACTGTGCATACCCAAATATCCATGGGGAAAAAAGTGTTAGCTGAGAAGAAATGTATAAACTATGACCTTTTGTTCTAGAGATCTTATGTACTGTATTGTTTTTAATCATAACATTTTAAATTGGTGCATTCTTACAGAAATCTTTTTTTTTTTCGCATAATTATTATGTTTCTCAGGGAGACTAAGAAGTTAAGTACTGATTAAATGAAAAATTACATACATTGTGTTTCCTGTGTTTTGCAGGACTCGAAAGGGACAAGTTTGATAATAAAACTGTTTCATTTGAGGAGCACATCAAGTCAGAACACAATATGTGGCATTATTTGTACTTCCTAGTCTTGGTGAAGGTCAAAGACCCAACAGAATACACTGGACCGGAAAGTTACGTGGCTCAGATGATTGTGGTGAGTGATCAGACGGTTTGATTTTGACTATATTGGATTTTGTATGCTTTTCCTTCCCCACCCTGCCCTTCTCTCATTTTGTTACCTTTTAAATAGGACTGTCAATCACCGTCGTACTGCTGTACTGGCGAAGTCATTGGTTCCCCCTGGACTTCTTAGTTATACAAACCAAATCTAAGTCTCAGGTGCACAGATATTTATTGAAGAAATCTCTGTGCAGTGAATAGCACCATCTGTCACATCTGTCATCTTCTGACCTCGTGCCTCCTGTCATTGCTAATGTCTCAATTCTCCAAATTTGGAACTTTCCCATTGGCAAATATGAACAGAAGATTCATACTTTAAGAAATCTCTTGAATTTCAGAAACCAAGGGTTTAAGAAAGGGAAGAGTATAATGTTCGATCTCAGTGTGAACACACAGTGTTGGTGATGTATCTGCAGTGATCCCTCCACATCCAGTTGCTTGTTACTCCTCGTTAAGATTAATCACATTGCACAGAGGGTGTGGTTATCCTTGGTCCAATGTTGCTCCTGTTTCAAAGAAGTTTAAAATCGACTGGCTTAAGGAGAATTCAAAGTTACAACTTCAATGTGATGATACACATTTAGTGTCATCGCATTGGATATTAATTCTCATATTCTTATAATAAACCTGACCATAACACCTTGGCCAAGTGACCTAGCTAGTTAGAGCATCGCCCCATGCACCAAAAGGTTGGAGGTTCAATTCCCAGTCAGAGCACATACATAGATTGCGGATTTGATCACTAGTCAGGGCATATGTGGGAACATCCAATCAATGTTTCTCTCACTGTTTCTCTCTCTTCTGCTCCCTCTGAAATCAATGGACATATCCTCAGGTGAGGATTTAAAAAAAAAATCACCCTGTCAAACTACATTAACTGTTTGAGAATAAGGCCTTAGAAGAGTCATGGTTCTCTTTTCTGCTCAGTCCCAGGAATAACATTTAGTGAGCACCACAAAGTGGCAGGAGATGCAGGTAATGGTGGCTCTCTTGCCTTCCCTCTGGGACCTTACTGTCCACTGAGGAAGACAAACTATAATATAGGGAGAAACCACAGAACATTTTCAGAAGCTAACATATTAATAAGTGCAAGTTAACATTGCAGTAGTTTACCTTATCTGACAATATTTGTGTCACAAGAGCCCTCATACAAATTATATTTTTATAGTTCAACATTTTCCATGCTTTTTTTATTATTGACTTGCGTCCTACATAGGTTGTTTTCTCTAAATTCTTCATATGATGGTAGATAGAACCTAATATCCTTTTTTTTTATATACCCTTTTCTGCTCTCTCTTCCTTCTAAATTAGGAAAAAAAATCATTTTGAGGATATGCATATATAGTCATTATTTTATACATTCTTGATATTGAGCTGCTTGGGGACCATTTGTGTGAAACATTTTGTTTCTGCTTGCTGGAGAATAAAAAACATGTAAATCATTGCATTTAAAGTATGACCTCAGATTGCTATACTTCATAAAAGTATGAGTTTAACTACTCTGTACAGGGGTGGACAGAAGTAGGTTTACACTCGTTTGTGTGGAAAGATGTGCAGGTCATGATTATTACAATAGCTCTCTGCATGTCCTTTTCCACACAAACAACCGTAAACCTACTTTTGCCCACTGCTGTCTTTATTGGGCATCCGTATGTCCCTTGAATTAAAAGATTTCAGAGAAAACACTGAAGGGTTTGATACATCCCTTCTCTGCCAAGGTATTTAGAGTAAGAGGGGAAAAGGGAATAATGAATCAAAAGTAGAATAGGCTAAGTTCCCCGAGAGCGGAACAAATGAAAATATGTATAGGCTCAAAGATATGTGGGGGCATCGAACTGGCCTGCGGTGAAGGGGAACTGGCGTGTGTGTTTGTTACGGGGCAGTACACCAGACAGGGTAGACTTTGTGCAGATGAGCGGTGTCTGCTGGTTTGAGTGAGTTCACATAAGGGGGGCAGCCTCAACAAAGGCATAAATATGGGGCATTCAAGCACTCAGGGACCAGTTAGTCACCCAGTTTCACTGGCACATAGTCCTCCTAAAAGGAACCTCTGAGAAATCTGACAGGAAAAGTAGATTGGACTTTTGAGTAATTAATTGTAGGTATTTGGACGTTATTTCATTGGCAATGGAAAGCCACTGAAAGTTTTACCTAAGGGAGCAATGTGGCCTAGGACAAGAGTCAGGCAGTGGCAGGTAGGCTGGTTTTGAGAGGGGAAAGGTGATGTCAGAGGTGGTATTTGGCAATTACTGAGACTAGGGGTGGGGGACGTGGAGGAGCAGGGGAGGCAGAAGACTGCATGACAAAGATGCTTGACATCGTGAGCCTGGTCATTGGTGGTGACCAATGCAGAAGGGTGGTGTCTGCATTTCAGAAAGACTCTGTGAGAAGGAGAAGCTGGTAAGAAAAGAGGAGCTGTTGATTTTGACACAAGACTGGAAACTGAGTTATGGATGAGGAGAGACAGTGCGTTGATGATAGCATTCACCAGAGAGCCAGAAAGATCTGGGCTCAAACTTTAGTTCCTTCACTTGTTGTGTGGTCTTGGATCGTTTGGATGAGTCTTTGAAAGTACCTGAGACTCTGCCTCCTCATCTAAAAGACAGAAAATTGTTGGTTTGAGATCAAAGAATGCTATGTAAACAGTGTAGCATAGCATAGGTCCTCAGTAATTGACAGTTTTCACTGTGACTGTCCACATGGAATGACAGTGGAAACCATCAGATTAGAGGGAGGTGGGAAAAGGGAGAACTATGAAGAGAGAAGAGAAGAGAAGAGAAGAGAGAGAAGAGAAGAGAAGAGAAGAGAAGAGAAGAGAAGAGAAGAGAAGAGAAGAGAAGAGAAGAGAAGAGAAGAGAAGAGAGAACTTGTGGGATCTCACATTTGGAAAAGGAGAAAGACAACTAAAATAAGTAGAAGACAGTAAAAAGGGCAGAAAGGAGAACCAGAAAGTGGAGTGTGTTGAAAGCCAAGAGATGAGCATTTCAATGTCAGAGTTCAACAGATCATTGGCTACGAAGAGACCATAAAGAAGGACAGGTCAAAGTCTAGAAATTGTAATGAGGACATCACCAGGTGACTTCTACCATAAGAGAAGACTGCTATGAAAATGTAGGCCCGTCTTTAGCCTTATCATGAAACCCAGCCTTTTTTCCAGGTACTTGGACTTGAATTTTTAAGTATCCATGTACTTACCTGTGTTTCTGCCCATCCTCTTCTGTCACAACTCTGTCCAAAGCCATGACAGGAGGCATGAGAGCTCACAAGCTTATTCCAGTATGAACTGTCTCATTCTCATTCAAGCAGTGCACATCCAAGGGAACAGTCACTGGCCCTGAATTTTAATAGTCAGGAGAAGGAAAAGTGATATTAAGCTCAGGACTGATGGAAACCAGCCATTAGTATGGGAGATGGTTCATTTACTAAAATAGCCTTTTTGCAAAAACTTCTAGAAATCTATAGATGATGAACCCAATTGAGAAAATGTGTAACTCCCAACTTGGTGGAGATTATGGCCTTGTAATCCTGATGCTCCTAGAAAAAAAGTGGATTTTAGAGCAAGGAGCAAGTTGAAGCATGTCTACAGCTTAATGTAAAGATTATTTTGTTCTCTGTCCAACCCAGAGGTAACTACTCTTTAACAGTTTGGTAGGTAACCTTCCAGACATTGCCTGCCACTTTTATATTTGCTCCTTAAAAACAGGTTCATTTGCCAAATTGATTTAAGTGCTTGCTTATTAATAGGGCTTTGAAAGAAGCTATAATTGTTATAAGTGATGCAGCTTTTATATATATCAGGATTTATACAAAAGAAGAGGAGGAAGTTCCTCATATTTGTTCCTAAAACAACTCATCTGAATTCTACTACACTGATTAAGTAAGTCTGATTTGTACCTTGGGGCCCTTAGGAAATGCCTTCTGGCTTTTGGTGAAATGGAAAGAAAACAAGAATATAACAAACTGGGAGGATGTTTCTCCCTTTTGTATACTTTTCCACCTCCAATGTGTATACTTTATTACCACGTCAATAAGGAAGAATTATACCAAATGCATTAAGACATACATTATAAACAAATTAATATATTGCTTCTAGATGTTAGAATCTAAGGAAATATATCTGTGCCTCTAAATCCATCTAGTGATAGGGTCAAGATTCTGAAGTAGTAATAGATACTTAAAACTTCTTCATCTCTGCCTTCAGTTCTATCCCACGCTGCTTAAATATCCACCGTCTGAGTATCTGAATTAACACAAAGCATTTTCTGGAATATTGTTAGAGGAGATGTGAGCAGATCAAAGTATTTGGAGGAATATGTTTTTATTTTGCAAGAAAACCTTCATTTTTGATAAGAGAGTTGATATTTTGAACTAGAATTTTTGGGAACAGAAAATGAGAAGGGAAAAGGAAGGACCATGCAGGAAAGTAAAATAATGAAAGGCAATTTAAAATTTTTTTAAAAAATCTAGAGAAAAGGATGTAAAGGGTATGTGCTGCAATCTGTGCTCGTAATGGCCTTTGAGCATCACTAAGCCCTCTTGCTTCTCCCATTATCCAAGGGGTGATCGCAGAAGAACAGACAACATGGAGATCATTAGAAAAAACTGCCCAAAGCTTTTAGATTTGCTCTTAACATTTTGGGGACATTTTCAGATTTTCATTGTTCATTTGCTGAGATATGTTAGGGACCTTTGGGGATATTTATTATTTAATTTGACAAACAGCAGAATCAAAACCGATGTGCCTGGAAGAGGGGCACCATGCACGCTCAGAACATACGGCCTGCCCCCACTGGGGTCTGAGTGTCCGGGTGGCACTGAGCTGCCACCGACCCCTGGCTGGCAATCCTTCCCATGACCATGGTTTCAGTGGGGGTCTTCTCCTCATTTTAGTGCATGGTACTTGTATGTTTTTCTGCTTATTTGACTCTTGACTAAAAACTGTTTCCTGACATTGTGTCAGTGTCGGCTAGGACA